CCGATTCATCGATTTTTAAAATAATCGTTAGTTGCAGCCCTAGTAATATCACAATCTAGTAGGTTCAATTTCACAAAGGGGCTTAAAAAAGATAAATAGGGCAACTTTGCTAAACCTGTTTTATTATTTTTTTTAGACAGCTTAAATGAGCCCCATGGATTTCTTAACATCTATTTTTTCTATGATATGTTAAAGTCGTAGGGAAACAGCTGTTCCAACCGTTGCATTTCCAAATTCTCCTGAGTGGTGCCCGATTTACACGAGTGAATAAAGTGAATGTGATTGGTCATTTATCAAGGGGGCTGGATTGTTGCGGAAGAAGGTTCGCAAGCATTTTGGGTTTGGCCAGTTTGCCAGAAGCATCTTGCTAACCAGATAGCAACTTAGTGCTAGCAGGTTCCTAATGGGAAATTACATTGGCACCAAGTAGCACTAAATTGGTGACTTAGAAACAACACTGTCAGGAACGCTATGGACAGCGAAAACATGCAAGAGGAGGAGAGTTTTGTGTCTGAGGTCATGGATGAGTCTCCTCTGTCATACATTTTTTATTTAGAGGAGGAAAGCGGGGACAAAAATGTTGTGGAAGAGGACGCCAGGGCGGCAGAAGCTTGGTTTGGTGTAGAAGGCTTACAGCCCTACATGTTTGAGCCGTTGCCTCGCAAAGCTGCCAGTTCTGCTCTATGCCTGCTGAAGACACAGACGTCCATCCGATGTAACTCAAGGGTAAAGTAAATAATTCTTATTTCAACCGTCGCGTATATTAGCTGCAACAACTGAATCAAGATGCTATGACTGAAAACAAATTGATTCACAGATGACAGTTGATGCATGATTGGCCGAATTTAAGTGTACAAGCTGACGTATAACTAACTGGCCTGCATAAGATGACGAAATTTTTTTTTTAAAATAGAAATTTTCTAACTTTTGGGACAATATCATGTGATAAAGACTACATTAATAAACATGTTTAAGCCAGAATGATTTAAAATTCAAATATGACTTCCCTTTAAGACGTGCATGTGGCTCATTTAAGTTGTTTTAAAAAAAAAAGGAAAAATTTTGAGCGAAGTTGCCCTATTTATCTTTTTTTAAGGTTTGTTATAAAATTTATCTAGATCTGAAATTGTGGAAGATTGATTTTTTATTCTTTCTATGTAACATTTGTTCAACTTCCCTTAACAACACCAACCAAACCACAGAGGGTGGCTGTCACTGACTGGAGAAAGATTTACTTTTTGAATTTCTCAATAGCTGGTTAAAAAAGGGCCAATCCAAAAAAAAAAAAAAATAAATCAATAATAAAAACAAAATGAAAAAAATATCCCCTGATTTTAGTCACCCGATTTCTCTCAAAGTTTCTCTTCTGCTTTAAAAGCTCCTTCCCTGCTCTTGCTCTTTATGCACTGGCAGCTCTGTCCTACTTGCAGGTGGACCTTTTTCTGTACGCTCAGGTCAACTTTTGTCACTTTTCTGACAGGAGTACTGATATGCTTTAAAATGAAGAATGTGAAGTATGAGCTAAGTTTATGCTAGCTTCACTGTTTCTATTGAGTAAAGTAAGGCTTGAATAAACTCTAGTTTATAGTTGAACACAGGCATTTACACTTCTTTGCAGTTTGAGGCTTTTGTAAAGCATCATGTGTCCAGCATTACAACTGTAGAAGTTTCCTGAAAAGTAATCAATAACAAGCAGTTTATCTTCTCAGGTTGGTTCCAACCTCAAAGTGACAAAAATTGACATGAGCGCCCTGAAACAGGTACACACCTGACATTACTGGTTCTGTGGCTGCATCCAAAGCATATAGTTGCTAAGGCGGTTGCTATGACATGCGCTCGGATTTGGCTGAGCGATCTGATCACATTAGGGCTGCAACAACGAATCGATAAAATCGATAAAAATCGACTTTTAAAAGCGTTGGCAACGAATTTCA